CCCCCCCCCCCCGGAAGGAAAAAAAAAAAAAAAATGCCATAGCGTCCCAACCGTGCAAGTGGCTACTGCCAGCCTCCTGCCTGTAGAACTTATTTGCTTCTACTTCGTATTGCTGGAGGTGCTCAACTCTGACCTCTGTCCTTCACCCTGGTTGCCGCCCAGTTGAAATGCCTTCATGATGTGGCCGAGCTTTTTGCACGCCCTTCCGAGAGCAGGAAACCAGCCGCGTAAAGCCTTTCTTGCCGGGATCCAGGGTGTGCAGTGATGGAGCAAAAACATATCTGCTTCGAACACCTTGACCCCAAGTATTTGCAAGTTAGACCTCTCGATAATGTGACCCTACAATTCTTGCATTGTCAACGAAAGAGCAGATGAACAGCTTTCCAAGCAATCACCAACGCAAAGCTCAAACAACTGCTGATTGGGCTTGCAAATGGCGATTGAAGGTTTGTGTTTCTAGGGACCCTGCATTGCTCCTTTCAGGGACCGTCCAATAAAAAAGTCTTGACAAAATTCGCTTGCTCACCCTGTCGGTCGGGTACCGGAGGGCCCCGGATTCGGGGGTGGGGTGATCGGCTGTTTTTAAGTCGGTTTACCGGGTGGTGTGGGTCTGAGCTGCAGGACCCCCAAGCCGAAAACCCGACCTCTGAACTGGGCGGGGCGGGGGAGCGGGGGGGGCGGGGGGTGTACGCGGACGGGAGGCGGGGCCTGTGGTGCGGGCGGAAGCATGTCTTTTTGACTGAATTGAGGATATGAAAATGGCTCAGTGTGTGTTATTGCNNGGCAGCTTGCAGAACATGACTGGCGGCCTCTTTCACATCCTGGCACGAAATTCAGAAAATAGAGAAGCAAGTGAAACTTGTCGGGGGAATGGGTTTGGAGGGGGTTGGTGGGTCTGCAGCTGTCCTCTACCCTTGCCGAGGCGGCCCCGCGTTAGCGGTAGAATTGAAGGCTTTCCGGAAGAAAATGATCAATGTTACTGACGTTGGCGTTTTATATCCGTATGAAGCAAATAGCTTGCAAAGGCGTGCCAAAGCAATCAATGCACATTGCGGCCGCACTTGAAACTATATACGATTCGATTCACGTAAAAAGCTCGGCTTGCATTTCAATGGGATGTCTGTTGCAGGCCTTGTTCAGCTTATCAAGTGCTGGGGGACCCAGACTCAGCTCATCACGCCAGCCTCGGACGCAAAGAAACAAAAACTGAAGGGGCGACTGGTCTCTTGCTTGACTGCGCCATCCTGCGCCTCCTGTCAAACTGCGGCCAAATGGCTGCCGAAATCAAAGCCATCTGTACCTTAGATATGAACGAGATGGCTGGACCTCCCTACACAGGCGGGCAGGCTACCGATAGTGCGGCCAGCAGGCACTCCAGCAGTGAGTCGTCAGACCAGATTGCATGCTTGCGCGCTTTAGCAATCTTCTGGCCGTCTGTGCATGCCGCACCTTGGGCGAGTCCATGCATTGGCTGGCTGCATCAATCATCCACCTCCTGTTGAATTTCCCCCTGCGACTTCTGAGTCACTAGCCATCTTCCGCATCGCTTGCCACGCCAGTCAAGTCATTCACAGCCCCCTTCATCGCACAAACGTTGCAGATCCCCGTCTTTCAGCACATGTTTTTTGCAATGATATTGGCAAGCCAGCCACCCATTCCCGCCAGCCAAGAAATCGAGCATGTAAGGGCTCCTTCCCATTCCAAAGCCAACAGGCAAATAATCTTCCACCTCGCGGCTCACCTTGCTGCGCATTGCACCCCCATGTGCACAGCCTCAGTGCATATGTGCAGAAGAGGCTTCCGGTCTGTAATGTTCCCATAAGCTCACCTCACAAGCCTGGCGTCTGCAGACCGAAAATACAGACGATGGCCAGGCTAAGCCAACAGTGACAGGACGAAGCCCAGAGCTACAATGCTCATGCGCTCAAATGCACTGCCTGCATGGAGCACAAGTCGTGCCGCTGCTCACTAGTTGATGCACCTCCTTTGTTTCCCCATGGTTTGCGAGGAATTTGCTTCTGAGTGAGACGTGCCTGGCTGTGGTTCTCTGACAGGACTGCAGCAAGAAGTAAGTTCTTGATGGTTGTTGAAGGCTCGCTTAAGTTCGCACATGGTTGGCCGCTTTCCTCACCAGTCGCCGGCATAGCCTGGCAAGCCGAATCCCACGCAACATGTACGTATGATGTGAACTGTAGACCTTGAGCAATTCCAAGAATGCCCACAGCCTTCTGCACCCGTGTAGCGGGCAGCGCCTGTTGTGAGGTAGTCCTGCATGGGCGGGTGCCATCGATTCACAGCTTTGAATGACAACAACCCTGCCAAGGCCTTTGTGGCTGATGTTGTTTTCTGTCTGGTTGTCTCCAGCTTTGGGCAGTCCGAAATGCGGTGTCCAAGTCCCCCACAGTAAGCGCAGCCCTTGCCGGGTCAAGCAAGGTGCAAGTGCTGGTAGGCTTCATGGTACAGCATGAAGCGTTGCAAAGCAGCATCAACCCGAAGCCTTGACGCCACCAATTTCCTCCTCTTCTCTGCCCCCACCGCCCGTCTCCAGCTGCATGAGGAAGGGAGGAACCTCAATGCAGGCCGTGTGGGCGAGCATGCCACTGTAACTGTACAATATGCTTCCAATGCCAGGAGACGTGTTGGCCTGCTTCTAACAGCAAGGCCTTCAAGTCCAGCAGGATGGTTTCCTCAGCAGAGCACTGGTCAACTGGAACGCAGAAGACAGGCTGTCCATGGGGAGAGCGGAGAGGCGTAGGATTGCTAAGCTCTGTTTCATGCCCGGTGAAGTGCTAGTCGGCTCTGCTTTGCTTCCTTGTCGACTGCATTTCTTCTCTGGCCTTTTTTTCGTAATTCATTGCTGATATTGCAGTGATTTGGCGCGAGGTCTCCTTGTTGATCCTTTCAGGCTCCTTGTTGATCTTGCTTCTGCTCGTGGCACACCGTGGGATTTTTGGTTCTGCAGTTCTGCCACTCTCGCTTGGATTTACTGCCAAAGGCTTGCGGCACGTCACAGACAGGGATTCAAAATTCAATAGTAGCTGCAACTCGGGCACATCCTGGTTCTTGTTGACGAACGTTGTGGCCACGCCCGTTCGTCCACATCGACCTGTACATATTGGCCGCAGTTGTTGAAGACTATTGGGTGCCAGGGCGGGTAGCAATGATTGATGCAAACTTGGCTTGGCGGTGAAGTGAGCATCACAACCTTCATGAAATGCTCACTCTGAAATGGCTGCCTGTGCGGCCGATGCGGTGCACGTAATTCTCAATCTCTTTCGGCATGTCAAAGTTGATCACCTCAAAGCCATGATTCTTGGGTTCTTCAACTTCGTAACATGCCTGCACGTAAGCAGAAAGCTGAGCCGAAGTCATGCTGAATGGCTGGGAAGTCCAGCCCCTTGGACGCCACATCTGTGCCAATCAGGACATCCTTGCCACAGCCGGCCACGAAGTCTACCGCTTGCCAAGTAGATATCCCATGGTTCCGGTCCTTTGAGCCCTCCTTGAAGGAACGGATCGCCTCGTGACGCTCCTCCTGGTCAAGGCCTCCGTGAATGGCCACCACCTGGGCGAGTAGCATTACTCATCCTGCATGTGCAAAAAGGCCTAAGCGGCTGCTGCAGATGTTGTGCCTCCACGCTTTTCAACAGCAAGTACTCATGGACATCATCCACATCTGACTTGTTCTCGCAAAATATCAGCACCTCGGCAGAACAGCCGCAATCTTCATTGAAGCCAAAGAACCCCAAGAAACTGCAGGTTTAAAGCCAGGTACGGGAGGCGGTGTCTTCTGCAGGCACTTCAGGAGGTAGACCAGCTTAGCCTCCTGTTTGACGTACCTGGCGAAGTTACTGCGCTCTATCGCGCTCTGTGGAACTGGCCCCAATGAAATACAGCTTAATCAGCCAAGATGCTCAACCTCTTGGATGACATCCAGGTTGGCGGCGCCAGCACGGCCCACGTTGATTACCACCTAAGATCCAGAAGTTCCACACTCTGAGACTTGCAACCTGAATTCCTTTGATGGATTCTTGACGGGCAGCCGCATCTACCAGTGCGGTTTTGGCGAAATCCTGCACCGTTGCTGCCTTAAAGTGGCATCCTACGAAAGAGCACTTTGGCCTGGATCTTCTTCGGCATGGTTGCACTGAAAAGAAGCGTCTGTCTCTGACCTTGTGCAGCAAATCATGACATGCTGCCTAGCTTTACATTGACTGCACTCTTGCTAGCCTCGGTAATGGTCCAAGGTGTTGCGAATCTCTTCCTCAAAGCCTAGGTCAATCATCCGATCGGCTTCGTCTAACACGAGCACTTGGCACCTGAACAGGCAGGACGCCGAACAAAAAAAGTATCTCCTGTGATAACATGCTCTGAGGGCTCAGCTGTGCCAATGACATACGCTTCTTGTTGAGTAGGTCATTCAGTCGACCAGGCGTGGCCTCAAGCCCAAAAAATCTGAGAACTTGGATCTAAGGGTAGCAACCCAAGCAATAATCAAGCCAGGAAGCGACTACCATGTGACAACCTTTTTTGATTGCCTGCGCTTGCGTTCCGGTACTAAGACCGCCGATCGTCAAAACCTCAGTTGGGCCAATGTTAGTGCAGGTACCGAGCATGGACCCTGGAATTCGCGTTGAGCAGTACGAGTGGCGGATCTCAGCTTTGGGAACTCCTTGTGGTACTCAGCCAAGTGGTCAGTGTAGAACTCCAACACCTATGCAGTTGCAGCAGATTCTGGAGAAAAGGGCAAAAGCTAGAGGGCAGGGCTGACAGCCGTCCGAGCCACGTTGAGGGCTCACATTCCCTACATCCCAGAGCCCGAACCCTCAAGTAGGCCTACAAAACCATGCCATTAAACTCCTGCAACATCATGGCCCCTCATTTCTCCGGCATCACCCTTTACAGCGGACAAAACAAATCGTGTTCTAGCGTTGCTGGGGACTGTCAAGGGGGCCTTCAGGGGCAGGGTTAGGGCACGGCCTGGGCAGGGAGGGCCTCCCCTACCAGAAAAAATCAATTACGTGGAGCCTTGACCCCTCTTTGTAGTGGAAATCAGCTCTTAAGGGGGGGGCCAGGCCCCCTAGTGCACTACCCTAAGTGATCTAGGGCCGAAACGACCTCCGAACCAACTGTTGACCCACCAAAGGAATTCTTGAATGACAACTACCACAAGGCTTCAAAAGAGCTAGCTTTCGTGACTGCTGGGATCAACGCTGCCCAGCAAGTTGGCAGTGATTAACGGGCAGTGATCAACGAGCACCGCCTATGGAGTCACAGCTGAGGATTGCCCTGCCTCGTACGTCTGATGTGCGAGCTCACGCGATGGGGCAATGATGAGCCCAAAAGGGCCCTCTGTCGGTTGCACCTCAACTTTTGCGTGGTACTGGTAAAGCGCTTCCAAGCTCAACTCAAGTTCGAGGCCCTTACACGAGCTCTTAGCTCCTGTTCCAGCGCGCACATGATCATCGGCAGCCCAAACCTCTAGCGAGGAAAGCTGCAGACTTGCTGCAAGCAAGCAGAGGAAGGCTTGGGCACAAGTGTCTTGCCGCTGCCAGTGAAAGCAATTCCTTATTTGCAGGATGCCACATTTGTGCGCTGGCAGATCATGCTTCACCAGCACAAGCCAAGCTTCCAATAATGTCGCGGCCCATTAGTCCCGCGGGAATGCCTTGCCTTGGAGACCCCGAGCTTCAAACATCATAGAGCAAAGCACAAAATTTCCAAAGCAAGTCTCTGCAGCTGAGCAGCATCTGGATTTGAGTTGGCCTGATGATTCCTTTCGCCTTCAAGCCTGCCGTCGTGTCTGCAGCCTTCAGAAAACTCAACGCCTCAACCACAAAGGGCTTCCAATTTCTCCTGACCTTGCGGAGCTTTGTCAATCCAAGAGGTGAGAAGCATGCAGAGCTCGGCTCTTATATGGAGAAAAAATACGTCTCAAGGCGAGACAGTCTTTTGCCAAGAGCAAAAGTACCACAAAACACTTGGCAAAGCCTACAGCCACTACTCTGCACGCTCAACATTCACCCGGAAAAGCACAGGACCTAATGGTCCCCATGTCCATGGTACATGACGCCCATTTAGCGTCTTACCAACCCCCGTGCATACTCTTTCAAAGAATGCCTTTCTCTGATCCCGCCTTCAAGAATGCCGCGGGGAATTCGCATTTCCTGGTTCATCTCCGCATCAGGAGTCACGGTGAATTGTCTTTGTCAAGTCTATGCCTTGCCCTGAAGATGTTCAAATGCATCCCTCCCATCCTCGAAGCGCTTGATAGGTGCTGGCACATCAGTGCCATTTACCTGCGGTCACTCACGCACACGTGCAGCGTGAAGAGAGGGAATTAGCCCGTCCCAGTTAAGTGCAGCTGCCTCGATGAAGTACTTCTCGCGCACAGAGGCGCGTTCTGTTTCCGGCATGTCGCCTTAGCAGCAGTGGTGCAAAGCGAATGCAAGAGGAATCTCTCGCTGCATTTATGTTGGAGATGAATTCTTAGGTCGGAGTCCTGGAAAGAAATTGCTGAAATCTCTTGGACGAAGAAGACCTTCAAGCGGCTGCGGGCCCGGCGGTACTTCTGTATTGGACGCCAATCGCCGATGGCTGGCATCCTGAAAAGAAGACTCCAAAACAAGACTCCAAAACAAACACTCGGGAAAAATCTTTGAGCATCTTTGAGCCGTCCTCTCTTTGTACATGATGCCTTTTGCCCGCTCACGCACCTGAAGCCACGTAGCATGCTAATGCCGTGACACGATGCCAACACATCCAGCAAGACTCAGGCACTGACTGACATCAAAGGAGTGCTCATCTGCAGCTGGACCTGCTCAAGCAGCTGATCCTGCCAGGGCAGGAATTTCGAATTTTCTGCAGTGGCTTGGGCAAGGCAACTGTGGGGATATGCCCTGTGTTGCGCCCGGAGCTGGCGCCTCTTCATTTCTTATGCTTTCCTTGATAGCCGCTTCACGGGAGTCCTGGTGTCAAAACGTGACGTCACTGCCTCAAAATGAAACATCTCACTGTTCGACTGCAACTTCGCATGTGTGTCAAGGGTGCGCCTTGTTGGCCTCCTCCTCTGCTTTAAGTTTTGCTGAAACTGCAAGCAAGGAGTTCGCCTCGAAATGTGCAAAAAACCCTCGCAGAACCACGAAAACACGCAAGTTCTCAGTTCATGGCAATGCCACGCTTCTTCTTCTCCTAGCGAGCAGGCGCAGGTTATAACAAGGACTATTCAACTATTCAAAAAAAACAAGGTTGGTAGGGAGAGTTGGGGCAGGTTCTCTGGGATCGGAGTTGAAAGGCTAGGAAAGTGAACACTTGCTTTCAGCTCCCAGAACTTGGTCAGTTCAGCAAGCAGTGAAGAACCTTCAAAGACCAAATCAACTCCTCCACCTGGACCTTGACATACACTGCCGCAAATCAATGCTGCAGAAGGCCTCCGCAAGTCTTTCCCGCATGACTCTTTCTGCTTCTTCTCGTCTTTCCTTCTGCCTGTCAACAAGATGCGAGATTGCGACATCATCTGTTGCACTATAGCAGCAGCACCCACACTCTTCGCTTTGCAAAGCAGCAAGTTTCACAACGCCTGTCTGAGACGAGTTTTTCTTTCATTACAGCCTGACATCCACGAGAAAAGCACCATGGACAGAACGTCTTGTCCAGCATGCCTTGCGCTTCTTTACTGGAACATAGTCTTCGTAGGCCTCATCCTCCTTATTAAGGCAGGGCACAGCTCCGTGGAAAACACCTGCAAACCTTGAGCGAGTCCCTTGGGCCGCCTGATCCCGACTGCCCTGGCTGCTGTTGCAGCTTTTGCATCCAGGACTCGAAATGCCAGGCTTGGCGAGCAAGCAGCACAGCAAGATCACTGCACCCACAGGCTCACACACAGAAATGAACACAAATGCCATTCCCCGGACCAGAATAGTGCTTCCGACTCAACTAGCCCGGAAGCAACATGCGCGAAAAATCTTGAGAAAGAATCTCACAGCGGAAGGAAGTTCTCAAGGTACAGAAATACTCTCACAGCAGAAGGATGTTCTCAAGGTACAAGCTCAACTTAAAACTCCAATAACATACATACCATGGCTGCTTAAACAATGAAACTTGGCCCTACTCCAAGTCAACGTGTTGCCCTGGAATCAAATGCATTTGCAGAGACTGGGGCTCTGCCAGATCTTTTGCAAAAAGATACAGAAAACCTGCCCTGATCAAATTTCAGTCGCAAGCAATTACTTTCTGCGCAACTTGGGCGGGGAAAAAAAAAACATAAGAGGGGAGAGCGGGCAAGCAAAGCTGCCCACAGCTTAGACCAAGCCACATGTGCGCATGGCTTTCATGTGCGCCGCAAGTGTTCGCAAACGTCCCGTTTCAGAGTAGAATGGCGAATTTGAGAATGCAAATCATTAACACAGAGAGTTTCCACAGAAGCCAAGAAATTCAGAGCTGACAACAGACCGCAAAAAACGAGCACGGATGCGAAAAGCCATAAGCTGGGCGAGAATCGAAAACTCAAAAAAACAATGCGATTCCGATTCCTGCTGACAAGGGTCATCTGGGTCGAGCTGCGGCTCGACGTCATCATCGTCAAACTTTCGCTTTCGCCTGCTGGGATCCCCCACTGCAGGGTACTGTAGCCGGCTGGTCGGAACTGAGCACGCGACAGTTCAAGGTCTGCGCTCACCATGGCGCCACCACCTCTGACCTCGCGGCTTGCAGCTGAAGCTAAGATTCCTTGCCCTAAACCCTGTGGCCAACTGTGGGCTCCAGACCTAGAAGGTCATCGAGCTACATCGTGATACTTGAAGCTCCAAAAATGGCAGCGAAAGAAGCATTTGCCGGCCCAAGGCAAAAAAACAGGCAAGCATTCGGGGCACCCTGGTTTGTGTCGGTTCGAAATCCTTTTTTCAGTGCGTGGCAAAAAGCGTCGCTGCAGTCTTGCTGCTCAGATGTTTTAGGAGCTGCTGGCCATCATGCCACGAAATCTCAGAGAGATCCCGACAGGATGCCATGAAAGCATGTGCTAATCGTGCAAGTAAGCAGCCATCGCAGCAGGGATGCGCACCTGCACATGGAAAGGACACCTTGTTGGTCCTCACTGTGCTTTGATGTGCTCGGCCTCGCTTCCGCCGCCTCGCTCTTGGTTTGGACATGTCATCACCTCAGGGCGCGCTCTCGAAACAAAGCCACAAGAAATTCTCAAGCCTGTTTTGGCCTGCAGGCGACTGTCATGATTCTCGGAGTTGATGACGATGACGCCTACAAAGAAATTCCACGCACCATCACGTCAGATACATCAGCTCATTAAAGAAGTTGCTGCGTCCTGATGCCCCAGCCAGCTGTGCTCGAAGCAGCTTCCTGATAACAGCGAAGCTCACATGAGGCAAACTTCAACAGGCCTAGCACTGCAATGCCAAGTAGCTGGACAAACAAACAGCCCCCGCGAGAGATTATCACGAGTCGCCCGGCGTATGCTGCCTCCCAATGATCGGATGGCGCGTCCAAGCAAATTAACAGCATAGTCAGAGGAAATGGAAAAGGTTTTCAAGCCCTCTCGTTTTTCCCTACAACGCAGGCAGTGGTCAACAAAATGCTGGCAAAAAGATGTGCTCGCCACATATGCTGTTGTATCCTAAAGCTTTGTCATATGCCTCTGCTGTGCACTTCTTGTTAAGCTCTTGTGAAGCCGTATACTTTTGCTTCAAAGTCTGCACCTTCCGATTGCTTTTTGCCATGTGCGTGATAGACATCGTCATCTTGCTTACAGTTTACGGTGCTGAAATGCTTGGCCACCGTCTTTGCATGTAAACCTCAAAGCTTTCTACTGCTATACCCTCCAAGCCGCTTAAACGCGAGTCTATTTTGACCAATCCAAATGAGGCTAGCTAAGACTTTGATGCTGAACCCCTGGGAAGCTTAGATACGGATATGCCTCGGAAGGTGGATCAAAACTCATCTTGCAAACTAGGCCCAGTTACAGCTGAGGTTGTTAGCCTGCTTGGACCTCAGTTCTACCGCAAGTTCAGCAAAGTGCGCACAGCATTGCACAGCGCCCTTTGTTTGACCCTCAGTATTGGCCGTAGGTAGGGCAGGATTGCAACATCTTGGAAGCAAGCATGCCTGTCCTCATCCGTACATGAAGGCATGGACGCGTGTGATTTCACAACTGAATCAATGATGATAACTCTCAAATCTGCTGGGGTTCTCTTTACCTCTTTGTGCATTCCCATCTTTCGGATGTTCTCTGGTTCATGTGTTCTTCATTTCTTGGTCTCTTCCGATACTCTTTCAAACTGCGTGCCGCAAACCCCTAAGGCCCTAAGGACCAGAAAAACAGCAACAAAGAGCAGTGACTCCCTCCACGAAACAGCAGCTACGACTGCCAAGGGTTTCAGAGTAAGCACCCCTTACCACATGAAACCAGTGCACCATCTCGGCAAAGTGAAGCATGACAAACATTGCAGGATGTCGGTGCCTCCGATGCATGCTGATTCCCAGCCGGCGCTTGAAGGTCAGCGCATGCATTCAGCGGCTGCGCCTCCAGCTGATTGAGATTAATCAGGAATGGGATCATGCCAGTTGCATCACGTGCAGATCGGAAATGCTATCAAGAAGTCGATTTGGATGCCATCTCAAGCGTGGGCTCGTTTGCATCCCGTCTTTGAAGCTTCAGACGGCTGCGTTTTCAGACCCTGAACGCTCCGTCCAAGAGGTCTGCCGAGTCTCCAGCGCTTGCGCTGTGGCAAAAGAGCTTGATGCAACTCTTTGCTGCATCTGGAAAGCATGTGGCACAAAGAAGCACACAACAGACCTCGCAATGGGGGCAGGCTGGGAAGCGCTTCGTGCTACTGCAGGTCCTGACACTCCCTATGATACTTACAGTATGGCCCTGTTAGGGCACCACACCCGTCCTTTCTCAGCCATCACCTACATGCTTCCTCAAGAACGACTCGGGGTTGGCTGCCAGCTGAAGTGTCTATACAGAAGCCGTCCATCCTCTGAGATGGGAGCAGGCGTTCCCTTGCTCAGCCCTAGCCAGCAAGTTAAAATTTGACAGCAAGACCGTACAGGCCATGCGCTGCCTGGTAACGTGCAAGGTACTATTGAAGGGCATTTGTCCAGCGAACTCTCTTGTAGGTGTGCAGACCACCTGTCACAAGAAAAGCTCCGTCTGGAAGGCAAAGGGCCACCTTAGCCGAGCGTTCTGTCAGTCGCATCTGGGCTTCGGAAACACGACTAGATTCCTGTGTGCAACCGACAGGTAAAGCCATGGCAGTTCCAAGGCACCAGGGCCCTCTATGTTTACCACCGCATCGAAGGTGAATTTTTGACGTCTTTGCCAAGCCCTTGGTTCAACACGGCGTTGCACCAGAAAGATGCTATGCGGCTTCCTAGCTTGCTCACTACATTTGATCAACCCTCAATCCGAACCTGTGTTTTTTACAAACAAGTTTGTGGCCCCTATCTCTACCAGACCAGCTCTGTGAAACACAGCAAAGGATCATGTTGTGCCATATTTGCAGGGGCATGAATGCTGGAATGTTTCCAAAACAGCGCGGTCGCAAACTGAACTGCAGCCCCGAAGTCATTTTGAGGCCGCTTCAGGGTATGTATGCTTGCGATGTGCGCCACAATTCCACATGTGCCAAGTTTCGTGAGCAGCTTGGTGGTCAGAATCTGATTTTGCTGTACAAGCCTCAAGGCATGCGACAAGGAGGGACTACGGATAACATCTTCCTGCCAAATCTTGGCTTGCAGCTCAGATAGTCAAATGACATTCATCGTGGAGATGTGTACCTTGTTCACACGTCAACAATTGTGATCAAGGATTTGCTGCCGCGTGTTTCCTGTGAACCATGAAAGGTTCGCGTTTGCTGCCAAGATGCTCTACAAACATGCAATGCAACGTGTGCTCCAGTCAGCGAAGGGCATCTGTGGCTGCCAGGCCAGACATAAGCACGTACTGCCAAGGGACACGCCGCACCAAGGAGCCATGGCAGTAGCTGTTCAGGTGCGACATGACAATGTGTCTATTGGTTACGCTGAGCTCTTGCCGCCAAGCCCAACGAACGAATAAATTTGCAGCTGGATGTATGATCTCAACTGGATCTTAGGTTTGGTTAGCTTTGGCTTGACGACGAAAGAGATCACCGGTTGTGAAGTCTATACGCCTGCTCAGGCAGCAGGCCAGCAGGCGACAGGCCAAAAATTAGCTCCCGGGGCTCTCAAGCCCAAGGTCACACGATGTGAATCTATAGGTTCATAGCTCCAGGCGCTCCGAACAGGCGCAATGAGTCACATAGTGAAAGAAGCTGAATCTGAAAACATGAAGCAACCGTCGCCTGCCAGGCCTTACTCAGCTCCGCTCAGAGTGAAAGCACGTCACCTGTACAATAGTTCTCTGCCTCAGCAATCAGGGCTGCACCGTGTCCCTGGACAACAAATATGCGCATTCATGTCACTTGAGCTAGCTGAGCAGGGGAGCAATGATGTTCGCCAGTGGACAGTTTCAACACTGCGGGCCGATGTTGCTAACAATGTCAACGCCCACAATCAAGGAACCGTCGCCTCGGGATCAATGACTCTAGACTTGTACAGGTTGCCGGGGACATGCACAAACATGGTGCATCAGCCTAGTGGCTGTTCGTCTCGAGCCGCCAGTCTTTGCGAAGTTCACAAATGAAGCAGGTGCTTTGTCCAGGCTTGGCTGTGATTGGTCCCAGCTGTGCCTTGGTGGAGTTCTTTGTGAATCGCTGCGCCCTAATATGAAACCCACCCTAGTATAAGATACGGGTTCCCCAGAATTCCAAATTCTGGAATCTGCCACCAGGACTACTTTTGAAAGGGCCAAGACTAAACGGAATTCTCAGATCTTCTGAATTGGGGGGGTCCCTAGCATGACTCGTAAGGATTAGAAATCTCTTTGATTTCCTAGATGTTGATTGCTTGCGAGTGGTCTTTATCAAGGAGTTTCGTAGAATCTGAAAGCAATTTTGCTTAGTTATATTTCGATTTTAAATCGTGTTGAGTTGGATTCAAATTAGATTTCTGTTGCCTTTAATCAGGTTTTAACTACATTAGGACTAGGATTTGATTAGAATTAATGGGTTTAATTGGTTTGATTAATTACGGTTTCAAATTGTTTTTAAACTGGTTTTATTTCGAATCTAATTTGAGTTCAACTGCTTTTATTTCGATTTTAAAATATTGTATCACGAGTTTACTTCGATTTGATCAGTTTTTATTGGCTGCGAAATTAATTTTGGTATTTTTTTGTTTTTCTGGCATTTTTGCCGCGTATTAATCGTCGCGAAACGCAGAACTGTCGCGTCTTTTGGACTCGTGTCGGGTCTTCG